AAGGGGGGGAAAAGAATAAAGTAAAGAGTGCACAGAAGAGAACAAAAGAAAACTTACAAGGAAGCAAAGAAAAGATGGACAGCTGTGAACACAATGCATAGTATTTATTATATAGGCTTTCTTGAAATGGAAATTTATGCTGTATATTTTGAATCCTCTCATGTTTTGCTGTGTACATGACAATGCTTTTTTCTTTTGTATTTAAGTTTATATTTCTTTTTCATTTCTTGTGTATTTAAGTTTAAAATAAATTAATAAAAAAGAATTTAAAAATAATTAAGTCAGATGATAAGTAATAAGTGAGAAAAAGTAAGTCTTCTAGCCCTATAAACCTCAGTTTATAGTTTTAGTGGAGTCAAACTAACACAAGTGGTAAATAGGTATGCCCAGCTTTGATTTAATACATATTTCAGATTCATAAATATTCCCTACTCAAAGGCTGCCTAAATCACAAGTAACTGTAAGTGACTTAAGTTGAAATGAATAGAGAAATGTTTTTCACTGCCTACTGTTGTAATTTGTCAGTGTCAAATAGAATAGAAAGCCCAAGAAGGATTTGAATGTCACAGTTATTGCTATGTAGAAGGGCAGTATTGCTTCTTGATTGATTGGTCAGGAGATGTTTCTGTAAGGTACCTAGAATTTAATTTTTCTGATTTACTTTGGCTTTTAAGGCTTTCTGTTTCTTTAGCAACTGGTATTTTTATCTAGTTTTGAGAAAATCTATATGGTATAAAGGAAATGGTGTCTTTCAATTATAAAATTAAACCCACCTACCAAAATTTGGATGACTTGTAACAAGCATAGACACACAAAACATGAATTTAATAGGGGAATAAAGCTAATTGGGTAGTAGTACTTTCATGGCTAAAATACTCAATTGATAATCAAGTTGCTAAATTTGTCACGCAACAACCTTTGTCCTGGATTTGCAGTTATGTGGACAGACATTGAGTGAGGTGGTGTGTTCTAAAATCATGTAGCATTCTCCTATTCACTAAAGTCCAGTTTTCCCCTTTGATCTCCAGGATCAAATATAAAATTGTCTTGTTTGGCATTTAAAATCTTTCATAACCTGGTCCCTTTCTAACTTTCCCGTCTTTTTATACCTTATTCCACTCCACATACTGTATGATCAAGTGACTCTAGCCTCTCTCCATCTCCTTATTTCACTAGCTGTCCTCTTATTTGAAATTCTCTTCATCCTCTTCTCGGCCTCCTCATTTCCTTGACTTCCTTTAAAACTTAGCTCAAATCTCATCTTTACAAAAGGATCATTCCCCAGTTCCCCACTACTTTTTGTTTGTTGTACCCTCTGCTAGTATCTTCCATGTGAAATTATCCCTAAAATGGATAGGTATGCAATTGTTTGCATATTTTCTTGCCATTAGCCTGTGAGCTGTATGAGAGTAGGTACTAATTTTGGCTTTCTTATTATCCTCTGCTCTTAGCACAGCACCTGGCACTTAGTCCACAATAAATACTTGTTGACTGAGAATGCTGGACAATTCACAACCTCACTAGTAATATGCCTGTGTTCTTTGTTTGTCTTACTATTTGTCATTTTCCTTTTCTATCATTTTTGCCAATCACGTTAGTGGGAGGTGGAATTTAAGAGTCGTGTGTATGTGTGTGTGTGTGTGTGTGTATTGGAACACTTTTTTCCCTTTTGATTGTTGATAGTTTGGATTTGTCCCTTTGAAAACTGCCTATTCATAGCCTTTGGTGAGTTATCTATAGGGGAATGGTTCTTTTTTTTCCTTGCGTTTAACAAAAATAAATTCTTTATGATAACTTTTTTTTCCATCACTAAAATTTCTCCCAATATCATTCTCCTTCCACAATCTAAGAGAGTCATCTCGTATAAAAGAGAAAAAAGAATAGCAAAAATGATCAGTACATGACAAAAGTCTGAAAATATATGATATGCAGTGTTCCATACATAAGGATCTCTCGCTTTTGCAAAGGAGTGGAGTCTGAGGTGTCTTCTCATGTCTTCTTTGGAGCTGTGTTTATTCTTGGTAATTTTGTAGGGGTTTTGTTGTTGACTGACTGTCTTAACCATTTGTGGGCTGAGAGTTCTGGAAGCCCCCAGTGCAGCCAGCCCCAAGGCCTGCTGCTGGCTTGTGGGAGTGGGGGCAACCTGCACTATACTGCACTCTACTTTGCTCCACCACTTACACACCTGTGAGAAAGATGTTTCCTGCCTACCTGGGCTAGAAAACTTTCACCCCAGCCTTTTGTTGGTTCTACTGCTCCAGAATTCTTTTTCAGGAGTTATTATAAAGTTGAGAGGGGAATTTGTGACAGCTCAGGTGAATCCCTGCCTTTACTTTGCCATCTTGCTCTGCCTCTGTTCTTGCTCAGAATTCACTTTGGCTTGTTTTGCAGTGGTTGTTCTTTATGTGTACATTGTAGACTTTGTATATGTTATTTTCTTGGCTCTGCTTACTTTGTAGCAATTCATGTAAACCTATGTTTCTCTATATTCAATGTATTCATTATCACAGCACGGTAATATTTATTCTATTTCATGTACAACTTTATTCACCGGTTGAATGGCATCAACTTTGTTTTGCTTCAATTTCTAAGAAATTTGAATCCATTTCTTATATGTCTTGGATACAAAATCTTTATCAAAGAAACTTGCTTCAAAGTTTTTTTTTTACCCTGTTACATATTTCCCTTCTGATGTTAATTGGATCATTTTTGTTGGTGTAAACACTTAAAATTTTTATATAATTAAAATTGTTGATTTTATCTTCTGTGATCTTTTCTATCCCTTATTTGGTCATGAACTCTTTTCATATTCATAGATCCAAAAGGTTCTCTCCATTTCTTGGAGAGAATCATGTCTAGATAAGCAAATGTTCATGACTTGGAGATTTAAAGAAACATCTATCTATCCTTTCAAAATCATGACATTAGTAGGTTCTTAAATAACTTTAGGTATACTGAAATTGTTTAAATATGTTTTGGAGAACATTTACCCATTAGTTTTCACTTGATTATTCATTGATATTCTTGGCCTTGGAGACCAAGAAAGATTTACAGTATTTATTAGATTTGAGCCCAACCAGAAAAACTTTGTTAGACTTTACTAGTACTCATTTTTGTTGTACTGACAATGGATAGAAAATAGTATATTTTCTGTATGTCTTTCAAAAGAGACAGGATAATGCTGTTTATTCATAAAGGTAAAATGGACAAAAATCTCTCCTATGTATATAATGACATATTAAGAGAGAATAAAACACAGGGAGCAATATTTAGAGCTAATAGAGTCCATCCATAAAGATAACCTCATTTTACTTATATGTAAACTTATGTCTAGATAAGGTAAGTGACTCAATACTTGACTTAGGGAATGCTCTAGCTCTGTCTAGCAGATCCAAATCTTAAGTAGCCTCAAACAACTAATGAAGCTACACTATAAATAAAACATGCCAAAAATTTTTTTTAGTTATACTTACTTTGTTTGATGAGAATCCTCTCTACCAGGGACAGTCTCTTTCTTTTCCCAGTCATGGAAATTTCTTTGCTTGATTTGTTCTTTTATTTCAGTTTTACATCCATACTTTTTCTTTAAATATAAAACTGTTTTATAAAGCTCCTCAGTTTCCCTTGTTTGAAATTTAAATCTACTTTATATTCTCTAAGAAACCTCATCTAGGAAAAAATATTTTGCTTTCCAGAGTAGCTTTTATGGGCGGGGAGGGGGAGGGAACAACAAGAAATAACCTTAACATTGAAGGGGATGAATATTTCTATTGCATCTGTTTAGAATCTCACATTTTTACTCTCTGTTGTATAATCATTTTTTGTCTTATTTATAGTATGTTAGATATTTATTAAAATCCAATGTACTTATATAACTCTATAAGATAGTGTTGATTTTGATGTTTGCTGAATATTTTTAGTCTTTTCAGTAACTTAGAGATTATCTTTTCAATCGTTTAAAATTTTGAGGTGGGTTTGGGGCCATTGTTATTTAGGAAATCAGAGGAAAGAGGAAATACAACAGGGGTGGGGGGGAGTCAAACTACCTAATTTTATATTTTAGATTAGCCATAAAGAAAGAGCCTCTTTCTCTCTCTCTTTCTTTCTTTCTTCCTTCCTTCCTTCCTTCCTTCCTGTCTGTCTGTCTGTCTTTCTTTCAGTCAATTGGGGTTAAGTGACTTGCCCAGAGTCACACAGCTAGTGAGTGTTATGTGTCTGAGGCTGGATTTGAACTCAGGTACTCCTGACTGCAGGGCTGGTGTTCTAGCCACTGCGCCACCTAGCTGCCCCCTGTTTTTTCAAAATTAACTATTTTAACCCATCTCTAGGTTCATTATCAGAGTTCATTGCTTTTTTTTTTTCTGTAATAGCTAGAGTCCCAAAATTAATGGAACATTAAAAACTGATAGCAAAAGAATACTCAGTTCTTGATTAATCTTTCTAGATTGAAAAGAAAGCTTAGGGAGTTTTGGATCTTGAATGAACATTGCTTAAAAATTTTAATTTGCTGGCAGTTTTGATCATACTCATATAGTTCTGGCATTATTGAAAATGAGTGAAATAGTGTATAGGAGGTATCTAGAAAGTACAGTACTTAACTTTAACAGAAATATTTTTCATTCAAAAGTTAGTGATAGCATGTGTAATATTAAAATCCATATAAGATTAAAGTGACAGTTTTTTCCCTTAACAATCTATGTCAAATTCCAGTGGAGTTTCTTTTCAGGAATATATGGTTTATGTTATTTTAATTTTTTTATGATTTCGGTGTGTTTTTGTTCAATATCATTTCCTAGGAATGATACAAAAAAAAATTTACCTTTTTTTGGTCATTGTTAATGAATCAAGTCTTCATAACATTGCATTTTCAGAGTATTACTGGTTTAGCATAATTTGTAATAGTTTTTGGCCATAAAGTATCAATACCATGTGGCAAAAGCCACTAGGCTTCTGTTTTTTCCATTCATTGCATTTCTGTTTGTCCCTTTTTTTTTCTGTAGATCACTGTGTCCATTACTATGATCTTCGCAACACTAAACAGCCCATCATGGTGTTCAAAGGACATCGAAAAGCAGTTTCCTATGCAAAGTTTGTGAGTGGGGAGGAAATTGTTTCTGCGTAAGTATTTCTGCATTCTTGGGTTGAGCCTAACATGAGTAAATCTTCCATCATTTACTAGATATTTCATTGTGTGTGAGTCTTTCTGAAGTATAGCATTGGTGTGTTTGCTTTTTCTTTTGAACAGCAAATTGTTATGATTTCTAGAATTGGAAAAGAAAATGTATTCTAGTTTGCTAAATCTGTTTCTTTCCTTATGGCACAGAAAAATTAAGAAAAATAAAATAGAAACATTGCAAATTTTGCCATTAGTCCTGTAATTTCCTAAGACAGCAGTCATTTATTAAATTCCTACTATGTGACAGGCACTATGCTAAGCCCTCGGGATACAAAGAAAGGCAAAAACAGTCCCTATTTTCAGGGAGCTCATAATCTAATGGGAGGGACAACATGAAAATAATTATGCACAAATAAGATGTATAAGCTGATGTTTATCTCAGAAGGAAGACATTAGCATTAAGGAGGAATAGAAAGGTTTTTGTTGCAGAAGATGTGACTTAAGCTTGAAGAAAGCCAGGAAAGAAAAAAAGTGGAAAAGAGGAGGGAGAGAATTCCAGGCATGCAGGGAACAGCTAATGTAAATGCATCAAGTCAGGAGATGGAGGGTCTTATTCAATGAACAGCAAGGAGGCCAGAGTTAATGGAGTGCAGGGTAGAGGGAGATGAGAAGAAGAGGGTCCAGGACTGAGTTGTGGAGAACATCCACCATTAGCGGTGGCGATTTGGATGAAAATACTATGAAGGAATAGTCAGATGGGTAAGAGGAGAAGTAAGAGTGAACAGAAATATGAATATCTAGATAGAAGAGAACATAAAGAAGGGAGTGAACAATGTCTGAGATTGCAGAGAGGTCAGGAAGGATAAAGATTGTGAAAAAGACCATTAGATTTGGCAATTATATCATTGATAACTTTGGAAAGTTCAGTTTCAGTTAAATGATGAGGTTGGAGGCTAGACTGCAGAAAGTTGAGCAGAGAGTGAAAAGAAAAGAAGTAGAAATACCAATTGTAGACTGTCTTCTAAAAGAGTTTAGCCATGAAAGGGAGAAAAATATAGGACTGTATCAATGAAAAATATATCAAGGGAAAGATTTCTGATGATGGAGGAGAAATGGAACTGTTTGTAGGCAATAGGGAAGCAGTCAAGTAGATTGAAGATTAGTGTCAGAATGAGTATGATAGGGCAGTTTGATGGAGAAGACAGGATGGCATAGGATCACTTGTGAATGTAGAGGGTTTTCCCTTGGCAAAGAGAAGTGTCATCTTTTCATGTGAGACAGGTGATAGAGGAGATTGGGGTGGGGGAAGGTCTGAGTGATGTGAGATGAGGAGGGGAAAAGAGGGAGCTCTTGACAAATGACCTCAATTTTTTTCAGTGAAATATGATGCAAAGTCCTTAGCTGCTAGGGTAGGGGGTGGGACAGCCATGGGAGATTTGAAGAATGATAAAAAGGTTTGGAAAAGCTGCTGTGCTGATCTTGAATTGATTAAGGAGTTATAAAAATTGCCTTGTCACAGTGAGTGCCCAGTTTTAATTATATAAGAAATTTGTTGTCAATAGGGTTTTGTGATTTTCTCCAACTTCATTCGCTAGCATGCAAGTAGGAGTAAAGGCAGCATATAGTGAAATTGATCCCATCTTCAGGGGGTGCCAGAGCAAGATTGGCAGCAAGATAAGAGGGACTTGAGAAAAGAGGAGAGTGTAGAGTTAAGCTGGTTCACCTGTGGGTCAGTATGTGAAAAGGATGGGGATATAGCTAGTGCAGAGGTGATCCTATGGGAAAAAAAACTGAGAGTGTGAAGTGTTGAGAGTCTATAGCAAGGACGAAGAATGAGATTAGACATTCCCAGGCAGAGGAAAAGATGGGATGACAATAGATTATGATCAGACAAAGGAATTTCAAAGGCCATAAACTAAGTACATGGTAAAACTTTTTAATATTAGAGCTAAATTTTGTCTTTCATAAGGATTTTAGGCAAGTCTTAAAAAAATAAAATTTTAACACAATTTGCAGAATCATACCATCACAAAGCTAGAGCTAGAAGGAATTTCAAAACCACTTACTTTTAGTAGAGGCCTCAGGAGGTTATGGGACTTGTTCATTTGATTCTGATGAATTTTGCTACTGCTAAGGTTATTTCTTGGGTCCCTCTGTCAATGACTTTACATTGAAACAAGAGCTTATAGGATTTTTGTTGTTGTTGTTCTGGCTATAAATTATTTGATTTTTAAGACTTAGGGCATATAGATAGTTATAGCTTTGATGATGATGATGATAGTTAATATAACAGATCACAGCATTTAGAACTAGAAAGATCATCTAGTCCAATCTCCTCATTTTGACAGATTAGGAAACTGTGACCCAGAGAAGTTGAGTGATTTGTTCAGGTTCACACAGGAAGTATATAAGCCAGGTTTCCAACCCAGTTCCCCCAAATTTAATCCTCTTTCCATTCAGCATATGATCATATGGATAAAAAGAGGAAGCATTTTTAGACCAGGGCAACTCTCATAGGATTTTGCAAAAGAAAAGAACCTTACTAATCATTTAGTCCTGTCCTCTCATTTTATAGATGAGAAAATTGAATCCTAAAAACAGCAAATCTTGTCCAAAGTCCTACAAGTACTAAGTAGAAGATCTAGGAATAAAATTCAGATCTTCTGACCCAAACCCAGCACTCCTTCCATTATGTTGTGTTGTCTTACCCAGTTGTGTGCTGCTTGAATTGTGAACTTGTTGAGCTGCAGTAATTCTTTGGACTCAGTTTTCATCCTGGCATTTGGTAGCAATTGACCCCAAGCAAACCATCCATTCTATTCCAAGCCCATGTATTTCCAAATCACCTGCCAAAAGAAAACATACCCAATGATCAAGGGGCTGGAAGGAGAGCAGAAAAGGTGCTACTTGTGCAGGTTCTGTCCTCTACTGGGTAGAAAATACTTACCACACTTATTTTCTTTTCACTTTTTGTTGAATCTTGGAAATATAATTAATGTCTCATTCATTTGAAAGTAAAATGAGAGCATTGGATTAGATAACCTCTAGGAACTCTTCTAGCTCTAAATCTGTCATTCTCGCAACTTATTGACATTTAAATTACCTTAAAAACATGACATTTCACAACTCTTTTTCTATCTCTTCACATCCCCATTAGGATTCTTTGTCCTTGCATCCTCACTCAGTTTTCCTCACATAATCACAGCAGTCATTGTGTATATTCCATTCTTGTTCTACATTGTACTTCATAAAAGTTTTTCCAGAGTTCTCAATATTCCTCAGACTTGTCCAGTTTAATTTCATTACTGTATTCCCTCACATTACTTACAGGATCACAGATTTAGTTCCAGAAAGGGAACTTAGAGTCATCAAGTCCATCTCCCTCATTTTCAGATGATGAAACTGACACCCAGAGAAGTTAAGTTACTTAAGGTCACCTTGGCAGTAAGTATCAGAGCCAGGTTTCAAACACTATTGTTCTTATTACAAATTGAGAGCTCTTAAGATATTACTAATTTTTTGCTGTTACATAGAATTCCACTATGAAAATCTTCCCTTTTTTGTCTCGCATAGTATTTTTTTTTATTTTTAATACTCATTCTTTTAAAAATTTTGAGTTCCAAATTCTCTCCTTCCCTTGTACGTCTCTCCCACCCATTGAGAAGGCAAACAATATGATATCAGTTACACAAGTGAAGTTATGCAAAACATATTTCCATATTAGCCATGTTGCAAAAAAAAATCAATAAAAAGCAAAAAACAAAGCAAAACAAGTGTTCTTTAATCTGCACTATGAAAATTTTTCAACAGATAGCTCATATAAGTATCTATGCATTTGTGTATGTATAGATGCACATTTTAAGATATAGTCCCACCTTATATGACAGGTGGCGCAGTGAATAGAGAGCCAGAAAAACCAGATCTCAAATCTTGCTTCAGATACTAGGTGTGTGACCCTGGGCAAGTCACTTAAGGTTTCTCAGCCTCAGTTTCCTCAAATAGTAATGATAAGAAGACATTATCATTTTTATAGCACCTACTATGTGTCAAACACTGTAATAAGTACTTTTACAAATTTTATCTTATTTTATCCTCACAACAACAGTGGTAGGTAAGTGCTGTTATTATCCCCATTTTATAGTTGAAAAAACTGAAGCAGGCAGGGGTTAAGTGACTTGCCCAGGTTTACCCAGAGATAAGTATCTAAGCTGGATTTGAACTCAGGTCTTCCTGACCCCAGGCCTAGTGCTGTAGCCACTGTGCTACCTCACTGCTTTGTGCCTCTGTAAAATGAGGCTAATAATAAAAGTTACCTCCCAGGTCTGGTTGTGAAGATTAAATGAGATCACGTATGCAAAGTGCTTTGGGACTTTTGAATAAAACCTTGAATCTCTATAAAAGGCAGCTATTGAATCCATTTTGGTGGGAAGGCAAGGAGGCAAGAATGATGATTTCAGTAATGTAAGGAACTTTATGTGAGGAAATTCCTCTAGTAAAGCAGATCATCAGCTGCTTTGTAATATCTTACACCGGAGAGGTTTCCTGGGGTACTGAGAAGTTATATGACTTGACCAACGTTACACAACCAGAATGTGTTAAAGGCCAGATATGAGTAAAGATCTTAAGCATTTATTGGTACTTCGAATGTTCTCAGCACAAGGGATACAAAGATGGTATGAAAAGTATTCTTGCCCTTGAATTGTCTACACTGTCATGGAGATGGCTGTGTATTCCATACAGAAAACAATAATATAGACAGATGCAAAGTAAGACAACATAATTTGGGAGGGAGGTTGCTAACAATAGTGGGAGCTAGTAAGTATCTCATGTTATAGGTCATTTTAGAGTCAAGCTTATAAATTAAGACAGGAATTCCACAAGATGGAGTGAGGGACATGAAGAACAGCCTATGCAAAACACAGAGATAGCAGGCAGAATATCATGTATGCACATGTGTTTTCTTTCACAGCAAAGTAGACTAGTTTGGTTGTAACATAGGCTG